TCTAGACTGGCCAAAATCAATTGATGAGTGAATAATGAAATGATAATTTATACAAAATATAATGAGGCCTAATATAATAAAAATATAGTTATAAATATAATTATATGATTTATTATAAAATATTGATTGATTGTTTGTGTTCAATTCATCCTAGTATGGAGCTAGCGAGTTAGGTAGTTTTCATTTCTGGGATTTTGATCAAACTTTGCATGACAATAAAATTGATAGTTAAACAATTAGTGATTTAATTATAAGAATAAACGACTTTTGCAAAAATAGGTTGCACAAATAAATTTAATTATATTAATGAAATGCTGGAAGATAACACTGTTCGGAAAATAAGTTGTCTTAATTCATCGCGATTGATTTTCATTGCCGTTCTTTAATATTTTATATTCCTTTAACATATAAATGAAATAATTCGATAAAAAATGATTGATTTTACTTCTTATATATTATCTCTTGTTAATTGCATTAAAACTGAACTTACTATTACTTAATTACCCACATAAAAATAATATTTTTTTATATAATTAGCTTAAGCAATTATGAGTGATTTCATATATGATAATAAATGCTGATTAGTAATAAGATGAATTTTTAATATATTATATCTCTATGGTTATTTTATTTTCAAGTTCCGAAATAGTATTTTAAATTTATCTCGTAACATCGCAAATTTAAAATTATGTCCAATGCACTTCCAAAAGTTCCAAAATAATCTTTTTTCAACCAATAAATGCTAAAAGCTGCTAGAAGAATACCAAATAAAATAAGTTTCCTATGATAAGAAAATTTCTGATATAATATGACATGATACAGTAATATACATTTTTATTATCATTATTAAGTATATTTACCATACTACAAAAAATCACGTCTTTAGAGATTTATGCAATGAAATATTTATATCAAGATATTGTTGCAAATAGTACTTAGATTATATTTACACAGTATTTTCATATATCATATTAAACTTTTTCTGAGGTTCGCACACGTCGCTTTTTTAATAATGATAGAGCATATTTATTTTGAAAAAAGTACTTACTAAATTCATCAATAACAGATATTACATATTAGTTGTGATGAATATTAACATCTTACATTGAATAGCACATACTTTGATATAATCATTTTTAGCATTACCATTTTGTTTTGTTTTGATTACGCCTTACAATTTTCAATTGTTTGTATAAATGTATTAAAAAAATATTACCATTACATTTTTTGTTTTAAATATTATGATTAAATTAATCGTGTGCCAAAATATTCTGTTTGGTTCGACGTTTCTTGCACAACCTAGACAAAATGATAACTACAACGACGATATAATCATATGAAATGAGTTGATACAGTAATTTTCTTATTTATACGCAGTCATTGAATTGCACATGTAACATGCACCTAATAGATTAGTTAATAGACCATTGCATAAATAGCCCGTATTTTGTTGCATAAAATTTGTTACGTCGGTTTTATTACATACTTCAAGAAATTGTGTCCATATAATGTTGATAATGCCCATATGTGCAAAGCACAATGTTAGATTTCATTTAGTTTTGAATGATTTAATTTATATTAAAGTAACCCAGGGGAGACTGGGTATGACTATGCCTGGGTAATTTCTGATCATCAATAATTTTGTTAACCTGTAGCTGTAATACAAATAAATTAAATCGTTATTTAAAGATTTTTCTACGTCGAAACATTAAAATACTGTTCCTAAATATGATGAATTAGTCATAAAATCGGATTGTACAAGAAAAGAGCGAGAATCACAACTGTCTATATACCCAGGACGGTTGCTGAAAAAAAGTAATTTATTCTAAAGATCATGTTAATGTAGGGTGCTAACTCAATGCAATAATGTAAACTTGTTTGAACAAACATACTTCATCTTTTTCAAACTTAGTATAGCTGTTATGACGACTGTCACTACCGTACCCGGTCTCTACTACTTATGAACTAACAAACTCCAAAACTAAAACTTTGTAGTTTTGTAAATTTTTGAATTTATTGCATATTAGTTTCAATTAGTTCAAATTAATTTACGTTTTAGAATTTCGAAAATTAGAGATTCCCACTTTAATACAAATTTTTAAAAATTACGACTAAATTATTTTTTCCTCTGTATTATTCATCGGTCTCAATTGATACTACGAACAATTTATCTGTTTAGTTTTTAACCATTTCATAAGAATGAAAATATAAATATCTCTTGATTTCTTTTCTCTAACAAAAAATCTCTCGGCTGTCGCTTTTATTATTATATTTAATGAATACGATAAATATTTCCATTTTGTTTTTATTCATAATAAAAATAATATCTTTATCGGCTGAACGGTATGTGAACAGAGAGAAAATAAACGTATATTTTAATTCGACTTTCTTTATAATATGTTCGTCGTTTTGTTGTTATATAAATCCAGTTTTATAATGGGTTTCTCTCTCTCCAGACCTTCGAGAATTCGATAATACAAGAAAGCTCCGCTTGGTTGTAAAAATAATAATAATTTATTAATGCCCCACATTTGAAAACCGTTTTATAATTTACATTTGAAAAACTCGTATAAGTTCTAAAGTTCTTAAAAATAGAGTTTGATTTATTATTTAAATGTTATTGTATTTAAAATTCAAATCATTGTGTAGACATTGCTAGAGCGATAAGCTGAATTTCACAAGACGATTCTTAAAATTCGTATTGTTAAATAATAAGCCGCAAAATTATAGTGCTATAATATTTATCAAAATATAAGCATTGACGTGCAAAATACATAATATAGTTTAGCAAATATAATGCACTAAATAAAATGCTAATAAAGCTTTAAGATTAGTATGGCATACGCTATGCCAAGCTATAACCTGATCGACTCATAGGTGTAATTGGAACTTTATTCATTTTGCTAAATATTGTTATGTATTTTTTTAATAATATTCAAACCTATTTTATTCCATATGTCCAATATAATACATACCATTGTGTATAAAATCAATTGTAATAAGATATCTAATACGTGAAAGTGGGAAGTTTGCCTGAGAGCAAAAAATTCTATGTAACACCCTTAAAGTGTGAACACTACTATATAATGAAATATATATTTTTAAATTGAAAAAAAAATTAGCTTTTTGAGAATAATAGTATATGTTATTTTGATAAGTTTTATAGTCATAAATCGTTGAACAAATTTTTATAAAAAAATCTTGAACCAATATGAGCTAAAACTTTTATTGAATACAATACTTGATAATCGCGAGGTATTAATAATTATACTTTATAATAATTCAAATAATTTGATAATAATTCTAACAAACATACTCTATCTCAAATACATTTTTTTTGATATATCTAAAGTAATAAATACAAAAGGTAAAGTTAATAAAGATACAAAAGGTAGTACCAAAGATAAATATTCATTATATTACATTACAATATTTTATGTCATCAAGGTCTTATTTTATTAAATGAACACAATCCATTATCTCTTCGAATTTTGAACTTACCTCGGAAAGTTTCTTTTGAAGAACATTGTTTCTCGCTAATTGATAATCTGTTTTCTCGGTTGTTTGATTCAAAAATTTGCTGGTAAACATGAATAGAAATTTAACCATCTGTTACGACGTTAAAAAACTGAAGATTTTTATGAATAAAAATAAAATAATGATAAAATTGATTCATTACTTTTTGGTGTTGATTAGTTTTTTTTTATGTTGATCAGTTGAGTTATTATTTGGCAACTAATATTTAAAAAAAAAAATATTTCACGTTTGTAAAAAGCTTACAATCGATTTTGTTAATTAAAAACCGTAAGAAAATAAAATGTTAAATACAAGTAACGAAAATTATGGTTAAGATTATGTAATAAATTTTGAGAAACGTTAAGCAATTCAAAAACTTATTAAAAATTATTTGGTTGATTTCAGCAATTGTTCAAATTCAGTGATCTTAGATGAAAATCAACCGAGTCTTTTCTTTGATCAACAATAGAAGACATCATTATTCATCACGTTGTCTTATGAAAGTCTAATTTGGTTTAAAAATTTTAATAAATTATAGTTTAGAACATATAAAATTTGTTAGGATCATCATCAATTAATTTTTGTAATGGTTATAATATCAGTTTTCTCTACAATTAACAGTTAATTTAAAATATTGTGAATATTGTCATAAGTTTTGTTGATTCTTTTTTTGTTATTTTTGGATATCGGGAAGTTCATCCGTTTTGACTCGAGGCAAACATCTTCTTGCAACTGGTTGTTCTATATAAGCAAAATTCATTTCGGGAACAATCTGCATCTCGCAGCTAAATTTACTTCCCCCACATGATAATGTTTAGCATAACGTTGTCAGTGTTCAATGCATTCAACTCCTTCCAGCGTCTGGATATCACCTTCCAATAAGAAAGTATAGTATGTATGCATTGCCGCAAATTTAAAATGCAGTCGTTGCAATTCCTTTCAATTAACACACGGCCACACGAGAAATCGTTCGCGAATCTTTGATTTGCCATAAGCGCATTCATTTCCTCAAATTGTTCTCGAGTTATGTTTTTGTATTCTTTCATCATACCTGATCCTAATATTTTGCAAATTTTTGCTTTATATCTTGTGTTTGTAAGTACATTTTATATCGTTAAAAAATTCTGCGCTTAGTAATAAACCATCGATAACAAAGTGAATAGTTCTGCTTGGAGAAAAATATTAAATTTTATAAGTGACAAAAAATAGTGTTAACAATTCCTTAGTTTAATATCAGTCAAGCACCGCTAGTCGTAGTGTACTTTCGAAGTGTGCAAATATTTATGTAACGAGCTAACGTTCGCATAACAAGAAGTGATAAATTTCATAAACGAACCAGGAATAAGGAAAATGATTACGTAACCTGTTGTGTAAAAAATTGTGATAATCGAACAGCGACATTGACGGTTAAAAATCGAAAGAACAAGCAAAAGTTTTATCGATTATAAGCCTCCTAACGAAATGACGTAAAGAACTTGATAATAATGACCGGTTTAAGCACGCAATTGGCCGTGCTATGGTGCGTGATTGCGGCCTCGGTGCAGGATCAGGGCATCGGCAAGGCGATAGTGAAAAAAGATTTGGCCGTACGACAGAACGCAATCGGCAATGGAACTGATTTTGGAAGTAATCATAAACTTCTGACGATAAATGAGTGGTTGGATGGTTTGTTCGATCACTTTGCGTGGAATGGTGACAGTTATCGAAATGTTAACGAAAAATGTTCGAACGAATTGAGATCATATCTCGAACATCTGCGAAATGGATCTACGTGGGCGGCAAAGAGTGAGTATCATACAACACTGATTTTATAGATACAAAATCGAAACTAAATGAGACTTAGTCATTTGACTTAGATATAATATTTTTACGAATCATTATTATTAAAAAATTAATTAATTTAAATTCATAAACAATTCAACTATCCATAAGTTTAAAAATCTCGCTCAATTCCGAAAGATTTTTAAATTTTTTTATTAATGGCTTTTAACCGTATGGTCATTTAGCCTCAGAAAAGGGTAAGTCACAACTGTCCACATCCCAGGACAGGTTGTGGCAGGACATCCCCAGGACAGGTTGTGGCAGGCTTAAAAATAGGTTAAAAAACTATACCTATAAACACCAAAATGGTTCAGAACGACTTTGTCAGAAATATGTAATACAATATAATTATTCAAACAAATCATTTTTGAATTTTGAATTTTATTTTACCTTTATTTTTCGTATTTTGTCTTAGTTAAGATAAGTTTTTCTTTTTCTTTTTAACTTTTACCCAAAAAAGACAAGAAATTCATGTCACATTGAACGAAACTGATTGCTGGTAATTAACTACTAATGTTAAACTTATAGAAAATGCAAAATAACAAATAAAGTGATCTATCTGTATACTAGTAACTGTCATTGTTAAAATAAATCTAACAAAAAAATCTTACTTTTGGCTCTTTAAAAGCAATTCAAACTACAGATTATATTAATGGCTCAATTCAATATTAAAAACTTGTTCAAACAAACATACTCCATCATTCTTATTCTAAATTTAGACTTCATCTCATAATCAATATAATTTAGTTGTTATGAGGATATCCCCTAATCATCTTGATGAATTTCACTTGTTGAAATGCTTATTCAGTATAAAATATTATTTTTTTATATGTTTTGTATAAACTGTAATTTCTTTTTAATAATTCTTATTTACTATTTTTCCAATATTTCAAACTTCACATCTTTTGATATTTTATGTTAATGATTTTTAAACATTGAGGAATGTGAATTCTTTTCTTGTTGGCTTAAATAAATATGACGATTAATTTTAAATACTAGTTTCAGAAGAAAATCTTTATAATTAAGAGGGAAAAGCAAATTTTACCTTCTCCTAGATGTAAAAAAGCAATCTATGGCAACAGATTTTTATTACCTGTTCAAAGCATAATATTCTGCAATAATCATATCTGATATTCAATTTCTTTTACAATTTATAGATTAATTAGAAATATTGTTGATTTATTTACTTTTTACATCAACTACATGATGTAAATTGTTATTATTCAAAATGTTTATGCCTTTTTTTATCAAAATTTTATGCAAAACAGGATAATCTTAGATTTTTAACAGTCAATGCAATATAATCACATAATTTTTATAATAGAATCCAAAATAAGTGGTCAAATGTATTATATTATTATTTTCAAGTGCATAATCTTATATCAATATACTTTAGAAATATACCAGTAAAATAAAATGTATCGTGAGATTGCAATTCTCTGATTTTGAGATAAATAGTATCAGAAAAGTCAATATAGATTCGGCAGTAAAAAGTAAAAATAAAATGTGTTAATCCCGGTTTGGATTTCATAATAAAAGATTATGTAGAGCAAAAAAAACATTAAAATTTATTAAAAAAGGTACAATATAATAATACCCAAATTTTTTTATTTGCATATAGTATTTGTGATTGTGGTTTGAATTGTGATTTGTATTGTTCATTTGCACAGCTCATTCTGTACACAAGAACGAAAATGTCCTCTATGTGAAATCTAGTTCTGTATTAATAATAGATTTTTCCTAAAACGTGTTTTTAGTTATACAAGAAGTTTGCCTTTTTGCAAAGCATTCATCGAGTGAAATTGTGTAAACATACATCATAATGCTATTAAGAAATATTGAATATAAATATGGATGGTAATATAATAATCCTATTATGCGAAGGCCAGTTGTGTGTATAATAGACTACAAGAAATGCTACTCCGGGCTCTACTAATAGCCTCCTTTATAATGTAACATTATATACTGTGCTGCTTGAAAGCTTTCTCGTTCAACAAAGACTACACTTCAATCATTGATTGAACTTTTTTCATTTGAAATATGAGATAAAACATATTTATAAAAATCCTTCAATAATCCATAAAATGAATTTATAAAGCAGTTTTGAAACTGGAACTTATATTTGTTATTGATTTCGGATTACTTGATAATGAATTTACCAGTTTGTAGTTGATGAGATAATTTTATAAGTCCGACGATAGATTTATAGTCGAAATAATGGTCTTTAAATACATCATTAAGTCGATGTTGTTCTTTTTTGACAATGAGGTTAATCAATTCATGGTAAAATTTCCTTACCTTATCCTACTTTACCATTTTCTTACCTAATGCGATAATACAGAGCATTATATTATTATTACTATATAATTATATTTTTATAATAAGCATTTAAAAAATGTTACTATAAAATGTAGAGCCTTTTTTGTAAGTGCCCCAGCCAAATACAATTTAATTCCGTTAAAAAAAAATATTCTTAGAAATACTAATTTATCTTCGTATGAACAAATATCTTTTATAACTCCCTTGAAAATTTTATCATTTTTATCATTCATGGTTTTATAATTTCTATCCTATGTACTAAATTTAAGCAATAATGACTAAATTATTGAATGCAATGAAACACTTTTAACATATATGGTCTATGAATAACATATCCTTCTCCTGTAACGTGTAACCAATTTGTCAGTGTTCTTACTTCATTGACCTCAGGGGGCAAGTTCTGTTCTGCCCTCGAACGAGATTTATACGACAATGAACTAAGAACGCCTGACTGATTCGAATCAATTCATCAATTCAGTTGGAAACAGAAACCGATCAGAACTAACCGAAAATTGGTACCTGAAGTGCATTATTCATTACATGGTCGACTGCTAGTTTTTATGATACTTATATATTTGCTACAGGATGAGATCAATTAATTTAGTATTTATTTTGATTAATATAAATTGAATGCCTGAATCTTAATAATTAAAATGATGCCATTGGTTTATTTGCCAGTAGTTCATTGATGTAATCCCTTCGTCGGTTAATCGTGTAAGGAACTTATAGAATGAACGTATAAAATGATGTTTTACCTTTACCTTTACTCTATCTCTACCTCTACCTGGTGCTTTACCTCTACCTCTACCTCTACCTCTACCTTTACCTGGTGTTTTACTTCTACCTCTACCTCTACCTGGTGCTCTACCTTTACCTCTATCTGGTGCTCTACCTCTACCTCTACCTCTATCTGGTGTTTTACTTTTACCTCTACCTCTAACTGGTGCTATACATTCACCTTTACTCTACCTCTACCTCTACCTGTTGCTTTACCTTTGACCTTTACTCTACCTATACCTCTACCTGTTGCTTTACCTTTACCTTTACTCTACCTCTACCTCTACCTGTTGCTTTACCTTTACCTTTACTCTACCTTTACCTCTACCTGTTGCTTTACCTCGTGCTTTACCTTTACCTTTACTCCACCTCTACCTCTACCTCGTGCTTTACCTTTACCTTACTCTACTTCTACCTCTACCTGATAGACTTTCATCATTTCAAAGCAGTTGATTTTTTGTAACAACTTAGCTATATAGTTCTTTGAAAGATCGCAGATAAATAATTTTTGATTTAGATAATAATGGATTTCATTTTGGTTTTGGTACGTATCAGAACAATGTATTAGCTTTTTTGCGTTTAGTATTGAATATACTGATTTACTTTTGGAATAGCATTTCAAATTTACTTATTTGTATGTAGTATAATAGCATAGCAAAATTTTTAAAGCATACCGTTTTAATTTTAAAACATGAAAAGTACTATTTTCTGTATATCTATTTTTTTAATAAGTGTGATATTGTGTTGCTAAGATATTAGAAACTATAGAGAAATTGATCAAAGCTCATCGTTAATTATATCTTGCCTAATAGTAAATTGCGATTTCGAATGATATATTATTGCAACTAGAAATTATTATTTATTAATTATATGATGGTACTAATAAAATTAGAGAACTACGTACACAAATTGTTACTTGTTGCCTAAAGTAGATGCATTTATAATTTCATACGAGATTCTGATATAAATTGTATTATGTTTTATTATATAAATACGTACTTATTCAATCAGAAAAGTTTTCAGTTTAAAACAGTTCAGGTTTTATAATGCATGTAAACTTTTATATATTTTAAATCCACTAAAATTTTATAATAATAGAGCTAATAGTGCATTGCGAAATAATTTGTTACAATGCCAGTTTTCTTTATGTATGGCTATTTTCAACCATATTACTAAAATGTATTATTAGGCATTTGAAACGTTTATCAGGTTGCAATATGTTCCTATTTTGGATCCGACTGAGGTAATTTCCTCTTCAATTCAGAATTATTTTTATAGATGGATTATATATTTCCTATCGCGACATCCAACCGTAAACCATACATCACAAACATTTTAAAATGTAAATATCTGAAATTCGATTATGTCTCAATATCAAACCGCAAGGCATGTGATAATAACAACCTAAATTTCCCAAATGCTATATCATTTTCAAATTTTATTTATTTCCAAAGCATGATTATTTATGCAAAATAATATCTTTCGGTCAAATAATATTCAAAGCGTTTTCAAACCAGCAAATTTGCGTTTGATCCATACGTAAACCTGATCAAAAGCTTTATGTAAATATGTTTGTATATTCTCTGTTTTCCAGAGTAACTACTACTGTACTATTTTGATCAAATTATTCTTTTGAGTGGTACATTCAAATTACCATGTTGTACGCGTAGCCGTCATTAAAGTTCACGCAAATAATAATTGGAAACAAAATTAGAATTTTGTCGCTGTTTGACATATAGCTGGAACCT